TTGTATGCAGAAAACTAACAACATTGAAAAAAGAAATTAAGGAAGACACAAATAAATGGAAGCATATACTGTGCTCATGGATTGGAAGAATTAATATCATCAAAATGTCCATACTACCAAAAGCAATTTAGAGATTCAACACAATCCTTATTAAGAGACCAATGACATATTTCACAGAAATAGAACAGACATTTCAAAAATTTATATGGAACCATAAACGACCTCGAATAGCCGCAGAAATTTTGAGAAAGAAACACAAAGTAGGAGGGATCACAATACCGGACATCAAACTCTACTACAAAGCCACCATACTCAAAACAATCTGGTACTGGCACAAGAACAGACCCATAGACCAGTGGAACAGAATAGAAAGCCCAGAAATAAGCCCAGGTCTCTATGGGCATCTAATATTTGACAAAGGGGGCAGAAGCATAAAATGGAGTCATAATAGCCTCTTCAACAAACGGTATTGGGAGAGCTGGATGGTACATGCAAAAAAATGAAATTGGATCATCAGCTGACACCATACACAAAATAAACTCAGGATGGATAAAAGACTTAAATATAATTCTCAACACCATCAAAGCCCTAGAGGAGAACATTGGCAGGAGACTCTCAGATATCCCACGCAGCAATTTTTTCACTGATATGTCTCCTAAAGCAAGGGACATAAAGGAAAGAATAAACAAGTGGGACCTCATCAAAATAAGAAGCTTCTGCACGGCTAAAGAAAACATCAGCAAAATGAAAAGGGAGCCAACCCTATGGGAAAATATATTCGCTAATCATACATCTGATAGAGGTTTGATCTCCAATATACATAAAGAACTCACTCAACTCCACTCCAAGAAGACAAACGATCCAATCAAAAAATGGGCAAAGGACCTGGGCCGATGCTTTTCCAAGGAGGAGATACAGAGGGCCCAGAGGCATTTGAAAGGATGCTCAGCATCACTAGCCATCAGAGAAATGCAGATCAAAACCACCATGAGGTACCACCTCATACCTGTCAGAATGGCCATCATAAACAGATCCACAAACAACAGGTGCTGGTGAGGCTGTGGAGAAAAGAGAACACTAGAACACTGTTGGTGAGAATGCAGACTGGTGCAGCCGTTGTGGAAAGCAGTGTGGAATTTCCTCAAAAAGCTGAAAATGGAACTGCCTTTTGCTGCAGTGATTCCCCTGCTGGGACTATACCCTAAGAATCCCAAAATGTCAATTCCAAAGGACCTATGTACCCTAATGTTCATATCAGCACAATTTACAATAACCAAGTGTTGGAAGCAACCTAAATGCCCATCAGTAGATGATTGGATCAAAAAACGATGGTACATATACACAATGGAATACTACGCAGCAGAAAGAAAAAAAGAACTACTAAACTTCGCAACAGCATGGATGGAACTGGAGAGCATTATGCTAAGAGAAATATGCTGGGGGCGAAAGACAAATACCATATGATCTCACCTTAAGCAGAACCTAACCAACAATACAAAGATGCAAGGAAAATAAGACTAGCAACACTGAAATTAAAAGAAATCAACAGAGACAAGAGGGAAAGAGGGGGGGGGAAAGGAAGGGAAGGGGAAAGTCAAGGAACATATAGCAAGGACTCATGGACAAAACCAAAGGGGAAGAGCTGAGGGAGGGAATGAGGGAGAGGGCAAGGGAAAGGTGGGGGGTAGTCAGAGACAAATGTATTTGAAAAAATAAATTTAAAAAAGTCAACAACAGGCTCTAAAGTAAATGGATACTTTTTCATATCTTAAAAAAATGAAAGATGAGTTGTAACAAGTGGCACCAAGAAATACAAAGGATTGTAAGAAAATATTATGAACAAATATATTCCAACAAACTGGACAACCTGTACAAAATGGATAAATTCCTAGAAACATACAACCTTCCATAACTAAATCAGGAAAATCAGTGAATCTGAATAGACAGGTTACACCTAGTGAAATTGAAGCAGTAATCAAAAAACCAACAAACAGAAACCCCAGGACCAGATGGCTTCACAGGTTAATTTTACCAAACATTTGAAGGAGAGCTAACACCTTTCCTGCTCAAACTATTTCATAAAGTTCAAGTGGAGTGAAGGCTCCTGAACTCATTTTACAATGCTAGCATTATCTTAATTCCAAAACCAGATAAAGACACTACAAAGAAAGAAAATTATAGGCCAATATACCTAGTGAATATATATGCTAAAATCCTCAACAAAATATTAGCAAAAAGGATACAGTAACACATCAAAAAGATCATACATATGATCAAGTGGGATTTATTCTGGGAAGGCAAGTTTGGTACAACATTTGCCAATCAATAAATGTGATTCACCAAACAAAATGAAGGATAAAAACCAAAGGATCATATCAATAGATTAAGAAAAAGCATTTGATAAAATCCAGCACCCATTCATGATAAAAACTCTCAGCAAAGTGGGAATAGAGGGAATACACCTAAACATAATAACGGCCGTATATGAAAAAGCCACTGTCAGCATCATACTCAATGGGCAAAAAATACAAATGTTCCCCTTAAGATCAGGAACAAGAGAGGGATATCATTTTTACCTCTCTTATTCAACCTAGTACTGGAAGTCCTAGCCAAAGCAATCAGAAAAGAAGAAACAAAGGGTATCCAAATCGGAAAGGAATAAGTTAAACTGTTATTATTTGCAGATATCATGATACCATAGATAGAGAACCCCAAAGATTCCACCAAGAAATTTCTAAAACTGATAAATAAATTCAGCAAAGTAACAGGATACAAAATTAATATCCAGAAATCTGTTGCATTTTTATAGGCCAAAAATGAACTAACAGAAAGGGAAATTAAGAAAACAATCCCATTCACAATTGCTTCAAAAATAATAAAATACCTAGGAATAAACCTAACCAGGACGTAAAAGACATGTACTCTGAAAATTATAAGGCACTGAATAAAGAAATTGAAGAAGGTACAAATAAGTGGAAGCACATACTCTGTTCATGGATAGGAAGAATTAATATCATTAAAGTGTCCATACCACCCAAAGCAATCCCCAGATTCAATGCAATTCCAATCAAGATTCCAAGGACATATTTCACAGAACTAGAACAAATATTTCAAAAATTTATATGGAATCACAAAAGGGCCCACATAGCAACAGCAATAGTGAGAGAGAAGAACAAAGTGGGAGGACTCATGCTACCAAATATCAAACTATACTATAGGGTCATAGTAATCAAAACAGCATGGTAGTGGCATAAAAACAGGCACAGAGATCAACGGAACTGAACAGAGAGCCCAGAAATAAAACCACACCTTTATAGTCAATTAATATTCGACAGAGGAAGCAAGCACATACAATGGGCTAAATATAGTTTATTCAATAAATAGTGTTGGGAAATTGGACAGATACATGCAGAAAAATGAAACTAGATAACCTTCTTATACCACACACAAGATTAAATTCAAAATGGATCAAAGACTTAAGTGTTAGACCAAAACCATAGAAATCCTAGAAGAAAACATAGCCAGCCATATCTCATGCATTGTCTGCATAAATTATTTATCAGATATATCTCCCCAGGCAAGGGAAGAAATAATAATAAACAAATGGGACTACATCAAACTAAAAAGGTTTTACACAGCAAATCAAAAAAATAGAAACACAACCCACAGAATGGAAGAACATATTCATTGATACATCTGATAACATCTTAGTATCCAAAATTTATTAAAAAACTTATAAAACTCAACACCAAAAAAAAAGAAAAAAAGAAAAAACAACCCAATTAAAAATGGGCAAAGGACCTGAATAGGCACTTCTCCAAAGAGGACATACAGATGGCCTATAGACAAATGAAAAGATGCTCAATGTCACTAATCATCAGAGAAATGCAATTTAAAAACACAATGATATATCATCACACACCTGTCAGAATGGCTATCATCAATAAATCAACAAACAACAAGGGCTGGTGAGGATGTGAAGAAAGTGGAACCCTTTTGCACTATTAGTGGGAATGCAGATAGGTGCAGTTGCTGTGGAAAACTTTATGGAGATAACCTCAAAAAATTAAAAAAGGATCTGCCTTTTGACCCAGTGATCCAACTTCTGGGAGTATATCCGAAGGAACCCAAAACACCAATTCGAAAGAACCACTATGTTCATTGCAACATTATTTACGATCACCAAGATATGGAAGCAGCTCAAGTGTCCACAGTAGATGATTGGATAAAACAACTATGGGACATTTACACAATGGAATATTACTCGCCCATAAATAAGAAGAAAGTTTTACCCTTTGTGACAGTATGGATGGACTTGGAGAACATTATGCTAAGTGAAATAAGCTAGTTAGAGAAAGACCAATACAATTTGATTTCACTTATATGTGGAATCTATGAACAAACTGAACAAGGAAAATGGGGATAGGATCAGAGATGAAGAGATAGATGAAGAGCAGGATGATAGCTAGTGGCTGGGGGGTTGAAGGAATTGAGCAAAAAGGAGAAAGGACTCATGGACATGGACAACAGTGTAGTGATTGTTGGGGGAAGGGGTATAAGGGGTAAATGCTAATGGGAAAAATACAGTCAAGGTTGAATCAAAAAAATAAGAATTAAAAATTAAACATAAATATATTATGCATATTCAAAAAAAATGAACAGCACTCTCTGGCTCATCTGAAACCACCAGGGGTCCTAAGGGCATAGAGGGTATGTGGGTGCAGTTGCTATTGATGCTATTCTTCCCCACACAGGTGGTGAGAGCAGGCACTGGCATATATGAGCACTTTAACTGCAGAATTATTTGTACCTTTATTCAGTTAATAAAATAGGCTCTGTTGAAGGACAGTCTTGGGGCCTGCGTGGGAGTAGAAAAGGGAAACCCATGAAGAACTGGGGAGTAATGTGCTACCCTAGGGCTTAAGGGTAGGAAACGTTTTAGAGATTGTAGTATCTTTCTCTGAGCCATGTTTAAACCTCAGCTAGGAGAAAGCACACACTTCAAATTCCCTCTCCCAGGCAAATCTGCTGGAGAGCTTTCTGAATGCTTTGGTTGTCTTGTCCTGTAGTCAGGACGACCCCTACAGGTAAGCCACAGCTCCAAAGAGTATTTGCAACTTGATTGGCTGTGTGCACCCAGATGTCTTCATCTTAGGAAATTACTCCAGCAGGAGCCCACTGGAAATATTCCATCACAGTTAACAGCACCTGGATATGAGAAGGGAGTGTCTGAGAAAATGTCCGGTAGCTATTTTTATTGTCTAATTCATAATTTACACAAACCCAAGAGAAAATCCCTTTGTCCCAGCTGTTTCCAAGGAGTGCGGCTGTCTCGCAGTAGCCAGGGTTGGCAGATCCAATAAATCCTGAGGCCATCTGGTGGTAAGAAATGAAACTGGAGAAGGCCCTGGAAGTCTAGCAGTCTTCACTGAGAATCACATATCCAAAAGAGTAACTCAGGTCCAATGATGGGTCTCTGTTGATCCATTCAGTGGCTAATTGAGCAGCAACTTTAGGCAGGGCCTTTGAGAACAACTGATCACAAGGCCAAGGGCCCGCTACGTCTATCTTGTAGGGGGGTGCCCACACCTGCTGTGGGAGGATTGTGAAGGCCAGGAGGTACAAGCACCACAGGAGCTTGAACGATGCAAGGTCATAGTGTCCTCACTGTCTTCTGGTAGCCTTAAACCAGACCGTAAGTTGAGAGAAAGGCCAGAGTCCTGAGAACATTGCCCTCCTGTTTCCAGCAAGCTACAAAGAGATACTGGAAGTGTAGTGTGCTTTCCTGAGATGAACAGTGGTGTTTCCAAATGCTTGTCAATTAAAGAGAAAGATGTGTTACTCATATTATTCCTGAAGCTTCTGGAAATATTGGTTATGAAAGAATGGCAAAGGAATAGCTGTCCCCAAACTAAAAGTTTCTTCCCCTTCCCCATGACCAAAACTCCTTTTCTTGTTCTTCCAGTACTCCTAATATTAGTAGATGGCACTTCCATCCACAGTTCACCCATTTCAATTGCTCCAGTCAGAAACCTGGTAGCCAACTGAGACTTTTCCTTCTTCTCTGTCCCCGCATTCAATCCATTACCAAGTCCTGTTGATTTAACTTCAGTAATAACTGCCCACCCCATGTGTTGTGAGAATTATATGGGTTAACATACAGCAAGCACCCCTAACAGGGTTTGACATGTTGTTAGCATTTTTTAAATTTTTTACTTTTAAATCATGTTTATTCTATTACAGTTGTCTCAATTTTTCCCCCTTTGCCCTCCTCCATCCATCCGACACCCATCCCCTGCTCCCACAGTCAATTCCCACTCTGTTGTCCATGTCCATGGGTCTTTCATACATGTTCTTTGTTTAGTCCCTCCTCCTTCTTTCCACCACTGTCCTCCTTCCACATCCCCACTGGTCACTTTCAGTCTGCTCCATCTTTCCATGGCATGTTGTTAGCATTATATTATGGATGTTATCATTATTATAGTTTTAAATATGTCTACTTTTCTCCACCATACTGCTCTCTTGGAGAGAGAGAAAGATATAAACAGATAATGGCAATGTAGGGTAAAAAGTGCTATTATTGAAGTAGCTCAGACTGAGGAAGACAGAGAAGATCACCTAAACCCAGATTTCAGGGGAGGGGAGGAGGTAGGAGAAGGGACATCTCTCTAGTTGAGTATTGAAAGACAAGTCCAGGAGAATGGGGTTGTGGCTGGGGGAGGGGGTGCTAAGAGCCTTGCAGGAAGAAAGAACAGCATGAAGTAAGATAAAGACTTTTTTTTAAAAGGATATGTTAGATTCTCAGAATTATATGCCATTTGCTCTGCTCAAGTCTATATTAGTAGCCAAGGTAAGGACCATACTGTCAAGAGTCATATATGCCATTCATAGGTTTTCAGATTTAATCCTGTAGACAATGGATTGAAGAAGAGAAGTGGTATCACATTTCTAGTTTTCAGAGATCATTCAAGTAGCACTGTGGAGAATGGGTTGGAAGGGGGCAAGACTGGAGTCCAGGAGACCAGGTTAGAGGCTATTGTAGTAATCCATATGAGAAATTATGACAGACCAAGAGAGTGGTAGTGAATATATAGAAAAATGGAGATGAATTTCACCAACATTAAAAATACCAAAGACTTTAAGAAAGTAGAACCAATAACAACCTAGCCACTGACAAGATGTAGGAAGTAACAGGTAATTTTGATTTTGATGCTTTTCAGACCCAGGCAACTGGTCAAAAAATGATATAAGTCTCTGAGATAGAGAACACTAGAGAAAAAGGAATGAGATACAATGCATTCTATTAGACATGTTGAACTGGTGACGCTTGTAGAATGTACAAGTGGCAATATCTGGTAGATAATTTGGCATATTGCATCTCATAATAGAAAACTGAGCTAGATTTATAAATTTGAGTGTAATCAACTGATAGAGGCTAATTGAGGATGTGGCAGTACATAAGATCAACATAAGAGAGTTGTAGAATATAGAAAGGAGCCAGAGGACAAAACCCTGAGAACCCACAATACTTAAAGGTCAAGCAGAGAGAAAAGAAGTCATAATGAAAATTAACATGAAAAGTTCAGAGGAACAGCAAAATCCAGGAGACAGTGGTATCTTATAATCCAAGGAAGATAAAACTTTGAGGATGAAAAATGTCTATCACATCTTACACTCTGCTCAGTATCCAAGTAAAGATAGAAAGGAGCCTGTCCATTGGATTTGGATTCAGAGAGTAAGGCTGCAAGTTGAGGGGCCACAATGAGTCAAAACTGAATAGAAATAAATGAAGTGGAGTCAGCATATGTAGAGAATTCTTTCATGATGATGCAAGCAAAGCCTTTCTCCATCTGGCCCTTGCCTTTCTGTACACCTCCACTTCCCACCATTCTCACCTGATGCTACAGTAAATTTCTTGCAGTTCTACGGACAGATATCACATAGTCTGTCAAGTATAGGATTTGAAAAATGCCATTTCTTCTGCCTTGAATTCCCTCCCCCTTCCTCTCATACTCCACTTCTGGATTCTCCTGATGAACTCAACCTTCAAGAACCAACCAAAGTGTTCCCTACTCTATGCATCCTTAGTTAACACCCCCAGTTTGAATTCATTGTTTTTCCATATGTGCCTCATACTTATACCCATTAGGGAAGGGTCACTCTGATTTATACATTATCCATATTTCTGGTGTATATTGTGACAAGAATACTGAACTGCTTGATATCTCCATATTTACAGGATCTCACACTTCAACCACAAGGAGTGGGCAACACCTAGGGCAACTCTCTATGCAGAATACAGCCCACTATATTGGAAATTCTTAGAGGTCCTCTTAATAACCCTAAGGCCAAGTTCCCAACACAGAGTAGGTATCATATGTTTGTGAAATGAATTAATAAACATTAAAGTTGATCTAAGGTCAGGAATAACCACATGACATAATAAAACACATTAGTTGCTTGTGGAAGATGGTAATAAGGAAAATTCTTGCTAAATTGTTATCATTTTTTTAATCCTTACCTGAGGACATGCTTATTGATTTTAGAGAGGGGCGAAGAGAGAGAGAGGGAAAGGAAAATCAATGTGAGAGAGAAATATTGATCGATTGCTGTTTGCACACACCTCAACTGGGGAACAAACTCATAACCTAGGCATGCGCCCTGACCAGGGATCAAACCGGTGACCTTTTGGGTCACAGGATGATGCTCCAACCAACTGAGTCACACCAGCCAGGGCCTTACTAAATTTTTAATTTTTACCAAAGATAAAAGTAATGGCATGGCTCTCTCCAGGGCTGATAATCAGCACTGGTGTGCACCGATAAAGCCCAGCCTGGTTGTTTATTGCCACAAACAATCTGCCTGTGCCAGGCCTGTTAGTTATTATCTTGACTCTCATCATTAATTTTATGAGAAAGCCTGACTTCTCAAGAGACCAGTCAGGGTCATATCTGCTAAAACTTAAAGACTTGCCACAATAGAATGCCCCAACATTTATAAACAGGTGAAAGCTGGTTAAAAGTAGGATCAAGAAAGAATTGAACAGGAAATGTCTCACAAAACAGGATGACTCAGAGGCTGAAAGGTATGTAGGATAGAGAGGGAAAACTTCCAGCTTTGCTTGGGATGGGGGTGAAAAAGTGGTTCTGTACTAACTACACACAAAGGAGCTCAAATTTATTCCTAGACCTTCAAAAATAATCCAGTCCAAATTCTCTCCCCCCAAATAGATGTATTCCACATGCTATGTGGAAGGCATGAGGTTGAGATTCACCTCATGGGGTGCGAATTGTGGACTCAGCCTTCAAAGAACCCCAGCCTGGCACTGCAATCTGAGTTCTAGTCAATAGACACATTTTTCTCTTCCCACCCACCCCACCCCAGTCTTTTATCTGTCATGGAAAATCTTGGGAACGAAGGCACTCTAGGAACAGCCCCTTCTCTGAGGAAGCATGGAAGGGGTCCCTATTTTTGGACTGCATTGTAACAGGGATATTGAACTGTTTGATACCTCTGTCCTTATAGGAACTCACTCTTTCAACCATTAGGAGTGGGAAACAGTGAGGGGAAATCCACATGAAGAATAGAGCCCTGTTCACAGCAACCTACTGCCTCTTCTTGACAAAACACACCTAGTTTGATGGGTTCTCTCACAGAAATGCTACATTTAGCCAGAAATTATCACTCAGATAACAAAGGCTAAGATAATTCCTGAGTTCTTGCTATGTATCAAAGGCTGGGCAAAATTCTTTTCATACATTATGTTATTTTAAAATTTTGATTTAAATCCCTAAGCATACAATGACCTGGAAGTTGTGGTATCATCCTCATTCCTTTCAGTTTGGGCCTCTGGAGAGATGGCTACGTTGCAGGGGCCTGAAGTGAATGTGGATGGCAGCAAGCCAAAACTCAGCAAAAATGAGCTAAAGAGATGCCTGAAAGCTGAAAAGAAAATAGCAGAGGAGGCCAAGTAGAAGGAGCTCAGTGAGAAACAGCTAAGCCAGGCCGATGCTGCTGCCACCAACCACACCACTAACAATAATGTGGGTGCAAAGGAGGGCCTGGACCCAAACCAATATTACAAGATTTGTAGCCAAGCAATCCACCAACTAAAAGTCAATGGGGAAGACCTGTACCCACAAAAGTTCCATGTAGACATCTCGCTGACTCACTTCCTCCATGAATACAGTCACCTGGAGATCACCTGAGTGACATTACCTTAAAGGTGGCAGTTAGCATCCATGCCGAAAGAGCATCTGAAGGAAGGCTCATTTTCTCTGACCTTCGAGGAGAGGGGGTCAAGTTGCAAGTCATAGCCAATACCAGGCATTATAAATCAGAAGAAGAATTTATTTGTATCAATAACAAACTGCATCAGGGAGACATGACTGGAATTCAGGGGAATCCTGGGAAAACCAGGAAGGATAAGCTAAGCATCATTCCCTATGAGATCACACTGCTGTGTCTTTGATTGCATGTGTTACCTCATCTTCACTTTGGCCTCAAAGGCAAGGAAATATGATATCATCAGAGATACTTGGACTTGATCCTCAATGACTTTGTGAGGCAGCAATTTATCATCCACTCTAAAATCATCACACATATAAGAAGTTTCTTGGATTAGCTGGGATTTCTAGAGATTGAAAATCCCATGAATATCATCCCAGGGGGAGCTGTGGCAAAGCCTTTTATCACCTACCACAATGAGCTGGACATGAGTTCATATGTGA